TCCTTAGACAATTCAGGCGGACTAGGAAGCCAGTTACACTTGAACTCACCTTCCTCCCGAATTTGTAGTAGAAACTCCTTCTATAAATTCCCAAGTCCAAAGTCGTGAACTTGCTCAAAAAAAAAATTCCTTTCCTTTTGATTCACGAAGATTGCTGTCAAGAGTTGCCGCTGCTACATCTTTATTTACTGCTACCGTCACTCATTCCACTTTGCTGCCTTTTTGACTAATAGCAACAATTCGAAGTTGGTCATCACCTTTGCCGAGCTACTCTTGAATTATTTGGAGGTCGCACGTGGTGCTCTATATTTATTTTCCATGTAAAATGCTAAGTATCATATGAATCATCGTTTTTGCTGGTTTCGCACGAAACTTTCCACCAAGAATTGATTAGTATATTATGGCTGCCAGTCATGTTTTAATGTGAATATTTGATGATGTACTATGAACAATCATGCTTTAAAGTGGAAAATTTAATGGCTGCCTCTACTAAATTGGTGCCACCCACTATTTGCATTCTGCCGATACCATTTGCTATTTATTAGGTACCCAAGACTTTTTCTTTTCAGCACTTAATCGTTAAAAGAAACTTCGGTAATAGACTTTGCGTGTTTATTTTGATGCATCCCTGATGTCTCGAATGTGATTGGTACTTGAAAATTTGCATGTCGTTTTGTCGTGTATCTAATGTGACCAATGCTTTCGACCAATATCACCATGATTGATACTTTTATATTTGCATGCATTATTCATAGCGATTCCTCATCCATGATTGTTCTTCTAATACCCGTACCTTTGTTAAATTGCTCACTAATAGCCCTTTTGTCATGTTTATTTTCAGATCCAGCTTCCAGCAACAAATCTCCAAGTGGAAGGTTAATCTCGGGGAACTTGATAAGGGACGACCAGTGAGGTAATTCAATTATCAAAAATTGTAAATATGAGAGGAAAAAAATTCCTTTTGATTGACTTTGAAAATTTTTCACAGAATCTTAGTAGCCATGCAAATTAAAGATTACGCCACGCCATCACTGTGATGACCCCACCCCCCTAGGGCGTACCCAAAGGTTTAGCAATCATTGGAAAGCATTTAACAATCCGGCAATATTCACAACATTTCACATAGTCATTTAAAGCATACACATGCAAGGGACACTCACTTTTTAAAGTAGACCAAAGCTAAACGTTCGGTTCTGGGTCGTGCTCGTTTCCACCGTTAAACCCTAAAAGTAACCAAGGCAAGATGTCATGGTCTGATTATTCAAAACTTAGGTTAATAAGGTACTCACTTTAGCCTTAATCATGAGCCATACGCCTATCTAAATTCGGCATCTCAAAACACAAAACACAAAGACAATTTTGAAAGCCAATCGAAGAATGTCCAAGTGCATTCTAGGGCTATGAAGTACACTTGTTTAATGCCACAAAACCATCCAAAATCACACCAATTAAAGTTTAAAACCTAGAAAAGTTTTCTCAAAGTTTTCAAAGTTCCACTCAATTCATTTGACAAAATTTTTTAGCTTTGGCAACATTCTTTGAAAAAGTACAACTTCAGTTTCGTAGGTCAAAAAATTACAAAACTTACACCATTAGAAAATAGACTCGATGTACTAATAGACTTTAGAAGACATCTTCTTGAATTCAATTCATTGGTTAGTCAAATTTTCAGTTCAAAATCATTGCTGTCTCATGTGCAAAACAGAACAGTCATGATTTTTCAAGAAATTTTGTAAATTTTCTGGTATTTATAGGAGTTGAACCAACCCCTGATTTTTGCACGGCTAAAAAAGCTATGAGTCTAGTTTCAAATGCAATAAACGAAACTCAATTTGGATTTTTCTACACCAAGATATAACAGATTTCCCAAAACTGCTCAAAGTCTCCTGTAGGAAAAATTTTCAGCAGCACTTCCCCTTAATTTCCCTAATTTCCAGCCATTTTCAAGGCTTCATTCTCACCACAAGACAACCTCAAATCAAGTTCACAAGGTATAGGATACATAGAGTACTTATTTTAGCCACAAAACTAGCTGTAATCAACATATACCTAGCAGGAAAATTGTCTACCAAGGCTGGAAAATCACCAACAAAGCTAGAAATCCCTCAAGTAATGCACAAAACGCATGTATAAGCTGAAAAATCTTCATGGCAGGTTTAAAATCCCATAAAAAAGCTGGAAGTAAGGTATCGAAGCTGGAAATAATCAACAAAAGCTGAAAATGGCAACCTACTACACAAAACCACAAGAATCTTCCCTCAACCTACTACAATCAAGTCATATTTCCAGCCAAATGCAAGAATAAAGAGGGAGAGTGGTTCCTTACCAAGAAAACTTGCAATTCCTAAGGAGACTAGCAGCCTACAGTTTTTTTCCCAAAAATCACACCACACAAAGTCCCTTCCTTCCTTGTTGCTCCCTTATATGGATTGGTTTAAGGTTTGAGGTTGATTTCCTACTAGTTCTAGCTTGGAATCAAGGTGCAGTTAAAGAAGTTTTTCTCTCTTTTCTTGTCTTCCTCTCTCGGCCAAGAAGGTGGAAGAATGAAGGATTATTGCTGAAATTTGCAAGATAAAGACTAGAGGTGGTCTTAGTCAAAGAATGTCTTGATTGCCAACACTTGGCATTCCATCATTTTTTTTCCTTTGCTTTGCCTTCTTTTCCTTTCTTTTTATGGTCAAAAATTTCGGCCAACCCCTAAACATTTAGTGAAGGAAAAATGAAAGAGAAATAAGAGGAATTAGGGAAAGAAAATCTTGGTCAAGTAGTATTTTCGACCGATAACAAATGACGCGAGTCGGCCTATTTCTTTGCCTCTCTTGTACTTTTATTTGAACTTATGGATTCACTAACTTACTCTTAGCACTTTTAATTACATACTTCCCGTTACTTAATACCCGCTCTTATCTACCAAATATAACGCGCACATCTCACTAGTCGGTCAAACTGTCTTAATAATCTACAAAACTTAACATACACTAAAATATAAAAGGAAAATGATAAGATCTTGACTTAACCCTTAAAATCATCATAAAATTAAGGCTAGCAAATAAGCAAGTAAGGTAAAATTAAAGGGAAATATAAATTAGTTTTTCAAAAACAAGAGAAAATTTTGGAATAATTTTCGAGTCCTCACACTCTCTCCCCCTTCTCTACATTAGGTCACTAGTATCAAGTTGCAGCAACTATCCACTTCTCTGCATTTGGTTCTATCCACTTGTTGAGCATTATTCTCCCTTAAGCCATTTTTCGTGATCTTCCCCACAAACTAAGCACTCCACATTTTTTAATTCAAAAATAATTCAAAATTTCAATTAGGAAGTGAAACTTTTCCCTAACTAACAAAAGATATTAAGAAAATAAATGCTCACAGTTACAATGCAGCCCATGGGAAAAAAATTAGAGTACTCCCATTCATTTAAAGTGATGGTAATCTTTTTTTTTATGAATTAAAAAATATGTGGCCTCTTGGAAGGCACATTTTCTTTTACTAGTGAAAATTTTGTAATTTTATTTTTAAAATGTAGTACACTTTTTCTTTGTCAATACCATCACTCTCACTTCATAATTGGAAAACTACAGTCAAAAAGCTTTTGGTATTGTACGCGATAAAATTTCAAGTCTGCAAATCGACAAGAAAAAAAATACACGACAAATATGCAATATATAAATTTAGGAAAAAAGGTGAGTACAGTCTCCGGAATTTTCTCGAGTTTGTAGAGAGTTTCCTTTAATTCTTCCCTTCGAACGCTAATCCAAGGGCTTCGTAGCTTGTTTTTGGATCCACCACTAATTCTTTCAAATCTTGACATGGAAGATTTGAAGAATTTAGAAGATATTTGAAGACTCAAGTCTTGATATATAGAAGACTTGAAGAGCTTGACGATCCAGACTTTTGTAACTTGGAGCTACAATACTTGAGTGCATGAGATGCCTCCTGATGTCCCCTTGACTTGATAGAGGGACCCCTATTTATAGCTATAGTAAAAGGTAGAGGTTGAAAACATGTATACCACTCTACTTGTCTTGCAAGACGTGCAGTCATATTAGGACTGTGCCAGTTTAAATATTATCTCTTCATTTTGTATTTATTAATAAAGAGATAATATCAATGAGTAGTTCCTTGATTGGCCAACCTTGTAGGGACACGTGACGTGGCGTCATTTGATTGGACAAGCTATTGCAGTATATAAGAAATACATATAGATTAAACAACTCTAAATATTATCTATTTAATAAGAAATAAATATTTAGATATCTATCCAAAATTTTGTCAAGTCATATAGACATATGACATGATATGATTTGGTTGGTGGAGACATCCCAACAATTTCAATTGATTGGAACACCTCAACTTGACACGTGACGAAATATAATTGATCATTTAATAACCAATTTTCCAAGTATACATGACATATGACAATATCCAATTGGATAAAAATAAGTCATAAAAATAATTTATAGATCAATGGTAATTTTAAGGATTAATTAAAATTCCATTGTCTACAGGTATCATAATTGAAGACTAAAGGGGTGTTGTTATTTTCTTGTTGCTTTGGTGAAAATAATAGTGGAAAGTAAAGGAATATACAGTGGGAGACATGCCTTAATTTCGATTAAAAAAGCCTTCTATATTCTTTAAATTAAAAAGATTTTTTTTTATTTTCATGAACCGAAACGGTAAAAATATATATATTTATATATATATATATATATTTTCAGGGAGACATGCCTTTCCTGATGTTAATACTACTTTTGTCAATGCAGTATCTTTTGCAGTGTAAATACACTTTATTCATGAGTTCTAGCAAAACTAACAAACTAATTCCATTACAGACGCGCGAGGCGCAAATCAACTAGTATATATATAACACGTCAATAATGAGTTGCCCACTAGATTTTGCATGGCCTACGCGTGGCTTTTAAACAAGTCACCACGCAAGCATTAGAACATGCAAATGTGAGGATGAATAGTAAACTCATCAACTTTGTCTTTGCCCAGAGCAAACTCATTTGACCGATTAACAAGAAACCAAAGATCCCGGCCTAAGCCATATTCTTTATATTTAGCAAAACAAAAAGGAAAAGAAAAAGAAGCCATTTTCTTTTCTCCCTTTGCAGCAATTGATCTTCAAAATAGCGATGCTGAAAGGCCTTGGCAAACATTCCACGAGCCCTAGTAATATAGCAGTTTGGTTTTTGTTCCTGAGCATGTCAATTTCTTTAGCTGCAAAAGTAGCATTTGCTGATTCAGAAAAGAAAGTGTATATTGTTTTCATGGATCGACCCATTGGCCAAGACCTGAGAGATTATGCTATTCAAATTCTGTCTTCTGTCCTCGGCAGGTAGGCATATAGATAATAGATGTTCAATATTTTTGTGTATTTATTATAAATTTCTTTAAAAATAATCAAACTTAATTTTGGATAAATGTTTTCTACAATCGGTTTGTAGTACAAGCTCCTTAAATTTTGTACAAATATTGCACCCATAAAGAGTTTTTGTAAAAATACGAGAGATTGATCCTTTTACTTTACTTTTAATTATATGATGGGAGGAACTTATGATAAAATTTCACTATTTTAGGCCAGTAGTATGATGTTAGCTTGGAACTTTGTAAATTTGGGCCCATTAGATTCTCGACTTTTGTTAAAAGTAAGACCTGATTCATTCCTTTTTGGCATCAATGAGAAAATTTATATTAGGGTTTAGTCCCAAACGTTCTAGCTCACAAAGAAAGATGTTTAAGGAATTTTGTAAAACAATTCTAAGCCTAGAGGCATTGGATGTTGAAAATTACACCACTATTACACTAATTTGCGTTGTTAAACAACAGTATTTAGATAATCATTTTGGTACAATATCCACCCGTATATCAGTAAAAAAGAAATTATTCTATTTTGGATTGGTCGTTGGTTTAATTTCATTTTCATTTTGTAATTAGTCATTGTTTACTGCTATTGCATAGTTTTCTGTACTATTAATGTCTGTTCTTCACAAAGTTGGGAGCATAGATATGGGCATTTCTGCAAACTTCATGTTCCAAATAAGAATTACTTTTCATTTGAAAGGACCTATTGATATTTTAAAGAGAACTAAAGCACTGAACCAAATACACTAATTAAAGATTCATTTATCAGATGAAAAATCTGGAAGGTGAGACACTGAACTGGACTGAAAGAAAAGATGTAACTGGTTATTAGGAAATTTGAAGTCATATGATTTAGTTAAAAAAAAAAAAAAATCTGAGAACATAACAGTTTCAATATTAGGCCATATTACTTTAAACACTAATTCTAGATAGTTTGATGGCCTTTTTTTTACCCTTGGGTGTAACAGCCACAAGGCCGCAGAGGAGGCACTTGGGTATGTTTACAGACGTGTTGGGCCTGGATTCTCTGGTAGGCTGACTCCAGAGCAGGCCACTCGACTCCAATGTGAGTGCTTTATATTTGTTCTTTATTATATCCCATTTGGTGTTTGTCATTGTAACTTTATAAAATTGTTTTTTTCATTCCCAAAGGATTTACAGTAGGGGCCCCCACGGGACACCAAAATTTCGTATAAACGCTTTTATAATGTGCATTATTAGTTTAAATAAATTTAAATGTTGTTTGCCTCATTGATATAGAATAATAGAAGATAATTACAGTAAATGGTCTTTGATTTTCTCCTTCTCTAAGCTAGAGTCAACTAGAGTGAATGGTGCCTATAAAAAATAAAAATAAAAAGAAAAACAAAACAGGTAAATCGTTATGCTCATGTATATATTTTAAATGCAATAATCTTCTCAGTATTATATAAATGGGCTTTTAGTATCAATTGTGCTGTAATTAACTCATACTCCTAGAACTTTAACGTAAATTCTCCATTTTGATTTATTAACCTATTGAGCCATTTTGTATATTATCTCTACCAAAAGCCTAAATAAATGACTAAATGCATCAATATTTCGGAAAATTTGAAGTTCTTGTGTTGTATTTACCAACTTTGTTTTGATTCTTGTTTTGCTCCCATCCTTATAAAAGTTGACTTCTTGAATACCAAAATGCAAAATTTTGTTCTTTTAAACTGTAAAAAGTGAAATTATACGCTTACACTGATTTTGTACAATGTGAAACCTACCAAAAAAAAAAAAAAGGTTGTTGGGATTAGATTTTACAACACTACAACAAAAATGGCCTTTAGCGGCATTTAAAAGTGTCAGTATAGACAATTTAACCTGACATTTTATCTATCCTCACACCTAGGGCGAGTGTTGTCCTTTCCAATGTGGGGATAGCCTCAAATCTTTAGCAACATTCAAACATGTCAGGAAAACCATGCTGCTATAGCATTCCCTCTGCCAACAAAAACTTTTTTTTGTGATAATCGAAAGTGTCTGTATAGCATTAGAACATCAGTAGCGGATCAGTAGTATATCCAATTTATGAAGGCATCTTTAGTTGTCTTAATATATGACTTTAAGGACACGTAGCCATGTGAATTTACACTGCTTTGGACGACATGCCCATTTGTCATTAGTGTTTTTCGAAGTTAAGCTATGCTGACACTTTTAATTGCCAGGAGTTTTTTCCCTGTTTTTTTTTTATATGGAAGCAACCTGCAATTAGCCCTCCCTGCTGTACATTCCATCAACCAGAATCCCAAGGGACTTGTAAAATTATCTCAAAGAGCAGAATGCATATAGCAATTTAAAAGAAGAAGTCGATACTCAAATATAATTCATTGAATTAAAAGTCGATAACAAGTACAAACATAGCAAGTACTAAAATCGCAAACAAGTGCTCAAAGAAAGTACTAAAATCCCAATAAAGTACCGAAAGATTCTCATTTACAATAACTTGAAAGACTTTCTTGTGCACAAACAAAAAGACTCTCATCCCTAACAAGTTGAAAGAAATGCTAAAAGTCAGGTAACGTAATTGTACAATATTAGCAACGATCCGCGAGAGGTATAGTATATATATAGTACATTGTTTGGGCTCATCAAGATGAAACAAACAACTACCACTGCCCATGTTGATGTATGCTCAAGAGTTGTCTCCTCATTTCCACTTCCTTCAGCCATCTCTAGGTGGAGCAGTCCGGCTATGCTTTAGTAGAGGTTAGTGCCAATCCTTCAGAAGAAGAGAAAACAGCCGAGAAATTGAAGGGATGAAGAAAAGTGTATACAGCGATCTGGGGAAACAGAAATTTTTTTTCCAATTCTTGAGCATTTGAGATTGGAAAATGATAGGAAAAAAATTGCAACAATAATAATATAATAACACCCCAGGAAATAGTTTGCGTTCAAGCAATTCAACCTACTAGAAATCATGTCATGCTAGAAATATAGCCTTTGGTCTATCAAATGCGATGGAAAAAATTATAGATATTGGACATAACTATGTACTGCAATTTCCTACTTGACAAGGTGTGTGGGACATGTGTCCAAGTCTCTGCCTCAGCTGGTCCTCACTTAAGTCAGTGCTAAACAAGTCATCATTATTTTTGAAGCCAAATCAATCATTGAAGCAGTTTTGGGGAGCGTAGCATTGTACTCCCAATCACTAACTGGTGCCTGAACAGCCAACATTGTCAACAAGCTGAAACTAAAGCTCGTCGTCCAGGCAACATTACATACAGTAGTGATCACAGTACCAACACTGTCAAGTAATGTCCAGGCAACATTACATACAGTAGTGATCACAGTACCAACACTGTCAAGTAATGCACTGAACAAAAGACAGTATGACTAAGCAGATTAATCATTCTCCTTTAAACATCAGATAATATATATTATGTTTGACTAACTACAAGGGGCATTTGTCACGACAAAAGGGACGAGTGTGGATGCAGACACAAAAGTGCACAGATTCAAGAGCTCAGAGGCATGAGAGATTCTTAAATTTCTCTCTTTTATAAAAATGATGGTAGAAGCACCAGTATGATCAGCCAGAACAGTGTTCGATACCAAGCATCCCTTAAGCTAAAGAATCATATGCTAGCAAAATTTAATCTTATTTCACACAAACATAACCATAGATGTTGTCCAAGTTCAAAGTTTTAAACTCGTACATCAGATCAAAGCACTTCTTCGAAATCAGATTAAGGGATCATGCAAAATCAGGTCAGAACCTCACCAAAGGCAACCACGACAAGGAGACAAATTAAAGTTTCGATAATTCGAACAAGAGAAGGTTGAGACATATAAAAAGTGGACGAGTTCAAATAACTCACCCTGGCCATGTTAAAAGATGGAAATCTTGAAAATGCTTTGGATAGAACATCATCATTCACCTCATTACCAAGATCACCACAGAACAAACGAGAATCATCTGCACAACACAAACAGTAATACTGAAGGCATTAATACTAGCAAAAACAAGATCAGTGAAGGAATTAAGACAGGCGAAAATTGTCATAAAAAATGATGAATGCAACCACACAAGGAGTAGAGTACATGAAACTCACTCTCTGGCCAATCTGCAAGTGTAGGATCCTCCCATGCCTGCCCTGCTGCCTTACGAGGTACTGCTTTCTTCTTAGTCTCGGCCTTGTGCTCAATCTCACTACTTGCAAGCGCAGCTTTCACACTCTCTAGCGCTTCAAGTGTTATTGTTTGTGCATCCCTCTGAAATAATTGCTGGGCCTGTCCACCAAAACTTCAGATATTAAGAACTGACTGGTTTAACTTTAAATATTGCCATCATTCCTCTTCCTCAAACTATACTTATACCTAAATTAAGATGCAAATATAAACCCCCCCTCCCAAAAAAAAAGAACTCTTGCCCACACATACAAAACCCCTGGGTCACCAAACTTCCACAATAATATCACCACTGCGACAGTCAGCCCCAAAAAAAATACTAATACACCACTGCGTCTGGATAAGCTATCCAAGATTATCTATTTGATCAACATTAACATTTTTTTCAGTATTAGATATCGCTTAACTTAAAGTAGGTTTGAATATGAAAACTCTGTATTTATAAAATCATTGCAAGTAATAAGCATGTGCCCTGTAAAATTGGCTGCAAAATTTCAGTAACTTTTAGTAGAATGTAATGTACTATAGTTCTGTATTCTCAGATAATGGAAATCCGACATTGAAAGACCAATTTTTCGATTACCTTTTTCCAATTCATGTCGTACCTTTATGAATTTCTAGTTTTCTGTTCTTGTTTCAATGCTGAAATTGAAGATAATTGGCAGATTGATATCCCAACAATGGGCCGGTATGGTTTGTCTTCTTCATTACAAAGAATCAGTTCAAGATCCTGGGACCAAAATTTACTTTCATTTCTGGTTTGATGGGATGTTTTGCTGATCAAGTACTGCAGTAAACTGTTTTAGAGCAGCAAATTTTGACAACATGTTTCAAGTATGAAGACACATTCACTGACGAGTCTAGTATGCCTAACAAATTAATTAATTGAAGCAATCAACTTAGTAACTTGGGAAAAGAATAGTGGCTGTAGCAACTAAAATCTGTCGAATGATTAGACTCCACCTTTTGGATTGAAATGAGCACGTCTACCTCAGTGTTGTCACCGGGCAAATTTCCTTGCGTGCAAGCAGCAGCATCAGCTTCTTGTTATAAGGTTAGAACAAGATAATATAACACTTCCCAAAGTCCCAATAATTTTTCTATATATCTGGTTTAGATTTCAGGGCCTCCTAAAGCAGCATAATCTAAGGTACAGCTTCTCCCCATGCAAAGTCTGAATAAAAAAAGAAAAAAGAAAAAAAGAAACTGCAGTTAGGATACAGAAATGTAGTCATGCAATAGCTACTCAAGTAATGTGTTGGCCAGTAATCCAAGAACAAACATGAAGGAGAACTCCTTCATTTCATTTCTGCAGTAACTCTCAAGTCTGCCGCTCATAATTAGCTCTTATACGCATTGAAAGTTTCAAAATCATTTGCTTCCGTTTCTCTTAGGCGATGGTGTATAGAAATTGAAGGACAAGACATTCTACTGTGAAGTTGTGAGAGTATACTACTTCCACACTTCAGTTCCCACTCTACTAGTTCATAAAGAAACGAAGCCCATCAGAAGCTAGCAAAATGAATACTCAGCAAGTCTGCAATTCTGCCCACACATACAAAACCCCTGGGTGCACGCGACAAGTTTCCCCAATATTTTATTTGGCCCACCTTTGCACCCTAAAATTTGTGAAATCCCCTTCACCTTCTACATTGCCCCCCCTCCCTCTTTTCTAAAAACTAAAATCTCCACCACTATCATATCAACTTAAGTAAATAATCACACCTCAACAATAAAGAAGGTCAATAATTTTAGAAGAAAAACATTAACCTAAAGTTCTTCTAATGCCTAAATTCAACTTCCTAAATCAATTTAGGAAGTTCTTCCTAAATGAATTAAGCCATATATATAAATGAACAGACCGGGTATTTTACCGAAAAATTGGACTTCCTGGTTCCTCCACTCACATAGACAACAATGGTATACATATCTCGACTCCTACCAATAATTAAAAAGATCAATTGTTTCTCATCATAGCTGCTGACAAGGGAATTCAAATGTCAGGGGAAGAGGAAAAAGAGCCGAAATCATTGCCCTAAATCTCTCCAAAAATATTCCATCCAAAATTCATATAAAAAAAACAACGTGGCTTAATGATTGGATATAGAAAAGTTCATACCTGTTGATACTGAGGGAGGGAGTACACGGTAGGGACTGTAGCGGGAGCAGGATAAACGTGGGGAACCGCAGGAGGAGGAGCAGGAAATTGCAGAATTGAAGCGGCAGCGGCAGCAGCCACATAGGTTTGCGGCTGTTGTAGGTGAAACGGAGTCGGAAAGTACGTGCCGGTAGTGTAGGTGAATTGAGACGACGCCGTTGAGGATGAAGAAGAAGCTGCAGCAGCCGATGTCGACGACATAGCGAAACCGCGAGATTTGAGAAGCGGGACCAAAAATTAGGGCTTCGTTGTTTTTGGAGAATTCGAACTCGTCCTTTTCAATGTCATGTTGTTCCATTTTCTGGTTTTGACGAACCTAAACCTGATGATGAGAGGGAAAGAGTAGGGGCGACGGGACGGCAGAGGTAGGGAGTAGAGGAGAGGAAAGTGGCCGAGAGAGGCAGAGGGCAAAAATTTAGGCAACCGAGAGAAATCAATTTAGGGCAAAAATTTATCATGGAATTACATCCCTTCAATGGGAAAGCAAGGATAGTTTGATTGCGGAGAGATTCAACAGGAAAAACTTTGTGGGAAAGCAAAATTTTGGCCAAGAGTTTTGAGAGACAGTTTGCCGAGAGAAAGACTTTGTGCGAGAGATAAAGAAGAAGCAAAATTTCACTGGGAGGCAAAATGAAGTTTTGAGACTTCACTAAGTGTTTTGGCAAAGGAATCTTCCGCCAAAATCCAACGACGTCGTTTTGTGTTTTAATTTTTTTTGGTGTATCTCACATTTTCGTAAGTGTCATAATAGGGAGTCTAAAGGTACATTATTATTTTTATATCAAATAAAATAAAAAAAATTAGAGTATATATTATTGAGTTGATAACTAGTGTCATGATAGAAGTTTTATAATGGCACAAACCAGCAAGTGTCCTTATAGATATGTCAGGAAAGACCATTTTTGTTGTAGTGCAATAACAAGTTAGAAAGTGCCACCTCCAAAAATTTTTTTTCCCTGGCTCCACCATTGGTCATTCCTCCACTGTTAATAAGTCCATTTACCATTTACTTCTATTTTCCCTTTTTCCAAATCACAATCAAATTCATAACTGAACTTTTTACTTCACAACATCCGAAAAATAATTGTTTTCTTTCCCCTCCTCTCCAGATGTGCCAAGCTATGGTTCTTGTAGAATTATTGTTTTTACTATAGTTTTTCACAAACACTAAATTTCATGTAGGTTTATCTAATCATTTGTAACTTGTATAATTAATATGATTGCTCTAGATATATCTTTTTTTTTTGTGTAGTTCAACCTGGTGTGGTGTATGTCAAAGAAAGCGAAGTATATGAGATGGATCCAGGTGGTGCTGCTAGTAGTTGAAGATTTAACAATAAAGTGTGACTAAAAGTTTAGTTAACAATAAGGCGTGGCGACTACACATGTTTTAGAAGCTGGTTACTCAAGCTTCGGTGGATCTTCTTATCATGGCAATTTTGATTTGCATATATTTGACAGCCCTAAAAAAGGAAAAAAAAAATTTGTATGGATGTTGTGAGAAAATGTTGTGATTGCATGGTCTTGTTAGATAGGTGTACAGATATTGAATATATAAGGCCACTACATACAAGCCACCGCAGGTTTTGGTGTAAAACAAATATGTCACTTAATGTTTTGTCAAATTCACTGCTTTCATTACAACACTGCATTCGAGGGACGGCCGGATAGTCACAAAAGGCCATCACCATTATAGGATTTCCTCGAAATTGCACCATTTTTGGATGCAGTCGTACTCTTTCAAACTGATACTATTGCATAAAATGTCATACACATGGCACTTATTTCTTCCTACACTCTTTGCCGCAAATCCAAGAAAAGAAAGAAAACAACTGTCGGTCACCAGTTATAAGTACTCAAGGCCATGACATTGTATGCCCTTTCACAATGGCCTTGTGATGATAATTCAGGCAAGATCAAGGTTTTCAAGGAATTGGATTGCAATAGACATATTTTCAGTTAATTTTTATGACTTAGTGTTTCCTTTTGTTTGTCATAATTTCGTCTGATTCCTTAACTTGGTTTGCTTCATGTTTTTCTTTCCCCTCTTCAACAAAAGAAAGATAGTAATGAAGTTTTAGTTGTTCTTGGAATTAAGAATATCGTAGAACAAAAAAATTAACATGCCCAACGATGCAAATTATAACCTTTTACAAGTGGCATGTGCGATGAGTGCGCCTCGATTGCCAGCACAGTGCATGTGTGGATGAGGAGGTGTAAACTTTTTTTTTTCTTTTAGTTTTGAACTACTTTCTTCTTGCCATACAATATAGAGTAAAATGGCTCTACCCTATTCAATAAAAGTTATCTATTTGTTTCTAGTTATATTACAAATTTTAAACTAACTAACTAACTACTCATTCTTACGTGTAACTGCCAAAATAATACACCTTTATATATTTCTGTTTTCAAAGCTTTTTAAAAATTGGATTTCTAAAGTGTAAAACTAACTTTTATGCAAATAATTTTACAATTTACTGTAATTTTTATTATTTACATTTTAATCACTAGTGCCCCACCTCTCCACAGCTCACTGGCCATAGCCAAGACGCTTGGTTGAGTTTCATGCTGGAATTGTCACCTCTTATATGTTGTGTCTTTCATATATGACTTCTCAAAAGAAAGTTTGGGGAACCAAGTACGCTACGTAACAAGTTTTGAATTACAAATGACAATACTTACAATAATGCTAATGCTTGAGTAAGGGCGATTCATCTCAAACTCTAATTCACTGACTCTTCTTGTCCCTATTTGATAACTCAATTCAACACATAAATTTAATGGATTCAGATTTGAATATGTTCAGATGTGTTTGATAATAAAATAGATTATTTTAATTAAGTGACACTGAGTTGTCTAAGCAAAATTTATTTTAAAAATAATTGATAAGTTGTTCACTTATCATTTAATGCAAAATACCCTCAAATGTTAGAATTTTTGTATTTAATAATTTAATAACTTAATGCATTTAAATTTCAGACTTCAAATTTCAGATTTAGGTCTTGCTTGATAAATCAATTCAATACTTACATTTAATGGATTTAGCTCTTAACATATTCAAATATGTTTGATGACAAAAAATAGAACATCTTAATTAATTAATTAACTCTAAATTGTCTAGGCAAAATTTACTTCAAAAAATAATTGATAAACTATTCACTTATCACTTAATAGAATACTCTCAAATATTAGGATTTCAATAGTTAACAATTCAATTAGTTAAGGATTCATATATTTAGATTTCAGATTTTAAATTTCAATTTACCAAACATACCTTTAGCCTTGTCCCAGTGATACATGATATACTCTCATGCTGCTGTCCGGGTCATGCTCCAGTGAAACGTAGTACACTATTGTTGAAGTAGCTTTCCTAATCAATGTAATAGCGAGACTTTTTTTTTGTCGAAACGATATATGATTTTATAGATGAAAAGAACCTGTACAGTTTCAAGTAAAGACTTGAGCAAACTTTACAACCAGTGCATACTAACACTGAGGAATCCAAAATTCTTGATCGACAACAAAGTCTAGCGCTTGTACGCTTATCCTATGAGTAATATGGTTAAGATTCCTATTAATTAAACAAAAGGAGCACATACGAAACAAGGACTTAAGACTATAGATATCCTCCATCAGGGTGAGCATTCGCATTTCCTGAGATTTCCTTTGCTGGAGGAGAGTAAACGTTACCTTGTTCTGGATTTGCACTTCAATCTTCTCCAACTTCTGGACAGCAGCTTTACACATCAGTAGTTTGATTGCTATGAGCTCATCCAGGACCTGGTGTCCAGAACTTCGTTCTTGCAACGTCCACCCTCGTGTCATGCTTTGATTGTCCCTTGTTATAGTGACACCTATCCCAAATTTAGGAGTGTGTTTGCTCTTTTGTGTTGCAAACCTTAGTCTCATGAGGCCTTCGATATGTTGCTGTTGTTGAGGGGATTCCGTCTGGTCTCTTGTGTCTCCTGTGCTCATGCTTGAGGTTTTTGTCAAAACTTCCTCATATTCCAACCATTCCTCTTGAGCTGTCTGCATTGTTTTCATAGGAGGGTGTTGCTTGGTGTTGAATTCGTTCGCATTTCTGCTTTTCCAAATTTGCCAAAGGATATTTGCTGTTAGGGAGATATGTTTGCTACCTTTGTTTCTCATTCTGGCTTCCATCACCGTAGTCCACCACTTACTGAAACAACCCTGCTGGTCTTGAATTCCTTCCCACTGGACAGGTGACATTTTCCATACTAATTTGACATGGCTGCAGTTAAGCAACGCATGCTCTATGGTCTCACCTTCCTCACCACAGAACCGGCATGTTAGGTCACCTTGTTTGGTTCTATCATAAATGAGTTGCCTTACAGGTAGCGCCTGGTTCAAACATTTCCACAAGAAAATCTTAACCTTGTGCTTGATGTTCAGCTTCCAAAGATATTTCCAACCCTTTTCTCTAGCCGAACTCCAGCTTGTACCTACACTCTCCCTGGCTTCTTGTGCATGTTCCCTCTGGACATCAACTTGTAAGTTGTAAGCTGATCTCACTGAGTAATTCCCATTGGAGGTGTGACACCAGTAGTTGTTGTCCTCTCTATTGACCAGACTTATGGGAATGCTTAGTACACTTTCTGCATCCTTGGAGTTGAAATTTCTGAATATCAGATTTTGGTTCCATCTGTTGTGTATTATCAGCTCCTCTACCTTAGCCAGCTTGCATCCCTGTGGTTTCAGTGTGGTGACCTTGCCTTGATGTTTATCTGGCAGCCAGCTATCCTCCCATATGTGAGTACTCTTTCCATTACCTATTCTTCGTCTGGACCCTTTCTCTATCAGGTGCCTTGCTCCCATCAATCCTTTCCAAATCCAAGATGCATTCCCAGCTACTTTGCACTTGAGTAGTGAATCTCGTGGATGGTATTTGTCCTTGAGCACTCTGCTAACAAGTAGATTTGGTTGTGTGAGCAACCTCCACACTTGCTTACCCAGTAGAGCTGCATTGAATGTCGCTAGATCTTTAAATCCCAAGCCCCCATCCTTCCTATCCAGTGACATTTTACTCCATGATCTTCAATGCAACTTGTTCTTTCCATTTGCCTCTCCCCACCAATAGTTTGCCATCACCGCATTGATCTCTTTGCATATCTTCTTTGGTAGCTTGAAACATGACATCGTATATGTTGGCCAGCCATTGTCACTGATTTGAGCATCACCTCTTTACCTGCAGCACTTAACATCTTATTTTTCCATTTCTTCATTCTTTGCTGGATGTTGTCTTTAATGAAGCCGAATAGTTGCTGTTTTGAGCTGGTAATCACCATTGGGAGTCCCAAATATTTACCTTGGGTGGCCAGTTGAATATTCCCAAGTGCTTGACAGATTTCCATCTTTAATTCCCTCTCCAGATTCGGGCTGAAGATGACTGAGGATTTGTCAAGATTGATGAGCTGTCCAGTACCCCTTTCATACACTTGGAGTAGTCTTCTAAGTTCAGTTGCATTCTGGGAGTCCGCTTTACAAAATATTAGCGAATCATCTGCAAAAAACAAGTGGGTTAATCTAGGCCCTTGCCTACTAATTGCATGCCTGCTACTCTTTGTGCAGTTGCTGCCTTGTTGAGGAGATTGGAGAATC